GACCAGATATTTAAATGGCTGAGGGGATTTGGCAGTAACTCGCTCAAAACATGCAGATCTTTAACCGTTTCTTTTTGGCAATTTTTTTTAGAGAAGGTAGGATATATTAGTGCTGAAGTCGTGGTTTAAGTGAGCCCTTACAGTCCGGGAGACCGCTTGACTCTTGAATGCTTGCACAGAGAAAAGCATGGCTCTAATAATTTGAAAGCTAATTAAGAAGGAGTAGATGAGGAGGAAAACTTCATGTTTTAGTAATAACGTAGTTATATTTTTTTTTTTTGTATAGTTTACAATAATGAAATACACTAGATAATACTATTTTTTAAATAAATAACCTGAAAAACAGGCAACCTAAAAGCCTACAATTTTGTGCTCCCGAAAATTCAAAGATAGTGTAAAGTTAAAATGTCATATGGAGGGCTAAGTGGAAGATCTGTCTATCTTGGCAGCCGACCCGAAAACTCCCTATCTCAAAAAGTTTTTCAAGTGCGCCCTATTTCAGAATTTGATTAGAGAACGTCCTATTTCAGGATTCGACTTAAAAACATCCCGTCTCAGCTGCCGCTTCATAAACGCCTTATATCAATGCATTTGCAACATATTTTCAGTTGAGATAGGGCGTTTTTGAACCAAATTCTGAGATAGGGCGTTTTTCAATCAAATTTTGAGATAGCAGATTATGCAGCGAAGTTTTGATGTAGGACATTCTTGAGCCATTTTGATCTTCCACTCAGCCGTTGAATAATTCATGAACTTTATTAAGCCTTCCGCTTGTTTTTTTTTGGTATTGTAAATTTATTGCGCCGTATTTTTAATTTTTTTTTTCAAACACAGCCATTTGGTTTAGTGCTTTGACAGTTGCTTATGTCTGAATTGAAATATTTTCCTGCGGGACATGACATTATACGCCCAACCAAACCAGACACGGAATTCAAGCAATAAAGATAGCTAAAAGAAATAAAAGTAAAATTAATAAATCGCAAGCAAATTTAGCATACTCTCTCACCTGCTGCAACCACTGTCCGCTGTATTGGGGTAACGTCCAACTTGCGTGCGATCGGAACACGATGCTACCGGAGATTGACTAGACGAGGTTGGTTCTGCGGAGGTTGTTGCTGTTGGCGATGTACCGCTAGATGTTGATACTGTCGTCAAGGATGGCGTAGGCTGAAATATCACCGTAGTAATAGCCGAGTCATCGATTGGTGGGGCGTCCACAGCCACACCAACATCACACATATCGGTTACATCCGATAAGCACTCACTAACACAAGGCGTCTGGCCACTATGCGCCACCGACGTGCGACACACCGTTCCGCTCCGGCAGGACCCGCGCACACTGGTCAGATTGTTGTTCGTGCACATGGTGAATGTGGTGCGGCTGGTGCAAGTGTAGGCGCCATTTGCAATGCCTTCACATTGGCCGCACTGCTTAGTATCGCCACAGGCAGCCTGTATATTGGGATTGCTGGAGGAATCGATGCAAATTTGGCCCAGCGCGGTACACACTTCATTGTCATTGAGGCAGTTGTATGTTACGGTTGTGTCGGGTATGCCTGCAAGTGGGTGAAATAAATTAGTGAAATGCATGAAATTTTCAAATGCAGAGTCTATTTTTAGAGACACATAGCTTAAACGTGCGCTTCCGATTACCGTTAAAACAAAGTTGAAATGTAGTGTTGCTGGCGCAGGCGACTCCATTACCGTTGCAAATACTACACACCGCATGAGACTGATGTTTTGCCAATATTATCACTAAAGCAATTGTGAGCTGAACGCAAAGCTAAGATATAATTAAATTATGAATATTATTTCCTCAATGTCTAAGTAAAGTGGATCTAAAAATTTAGGGAGATACTTTACTTTAATTTTCCACATTTTTTTGATGCGAGGAATATCGCCTTGGTTGAAGTTAAGATGCTTTACTAAATATGTTTCGCCTGAATCTAAGCATTATATGGAGTTTAACAAATTTATGAACCGCTCAAAGATATCCACATACGCATCGCACATGTTCTTCGAAATAATGCTAACTCAAAGTTCTCCGTCTATCAGAACACTTAAAAAAAAAGAACAAAGTATGCATTTTCAAGCTATGCTATGCATACTAGGAAAGGAGAGTTGGCTGCCGTGCTTGCAATAATAACACTGCTCCATTCTTTGCTACTTGTCATTTCATGGTCTTTGAACATTTTTAGAGTATCGTATCAAAATTTACAAATTTCGAAATATCACACTTTTGAAGACTACGTGCGATATTTATAAAGATAAAATTTCGCAGCTCGAAAAAAAATAGATAACAACCTTTGATTAGCCAAAATTATCAACAAGCTACTAACAAGTAAAGCAGTGGGGCAACTTTAATTTAAGGGGCGTATACCAATACGAATAAAACTAATAAATATAGGTAAGTGCGAGGCATAAATATATTCATACATCGATAGATATAATAGCCGAAAATTATGTTGAAAAAATACATAGACAAAATATTAATACATATCTATACTCGGTAGCATTCCTCAGCGAGTCCACGGGCAGGTTCCTAATTCTGTGAGCCGGCGGATGTTATGATTCAAATGATAGTTGACAGGGGCACATAGGAGGTCTTCTCTGCGTTTCTATTGGATCCCAGATGTAAGCCTTTTTGTTTCTTATGGAAACCTCTCTCGTTTAACAAATTTCTTGCCTAAAAACTGTGAGTAGGAGTTAAATCCAACGAAACTAATGGCGTTGTAGTTTCTACCAAACAAGTTTGCCCTTTCATTGCCCTCTTTGAATAAACTCTAAGGAGAGGGTAATGAAAAGGCAAAGGACATTTTTTGTTGAAGTTGAAATGCCATAAGTAAACAAAGTGCCGCATTTCGTACGTCTCCAACTAGATGATACCAGCCTATTTTGTCCAAAGTAGGTCCAAATTCTTAAGACTTATTCTCGACAGAAATTGCATCACAGCGAAAGGCATTAAGAAAGTCCCAACAAAACGTTTTTATGCAAAAAGGCAACAGGATATTATATCATGGGAACTCTCTCCAAAGATGGTAGAGGGGATATATACCACGATTGTCCATTCCATTACATTCCACGGAGTCTTAGTTAATTAGAAATCGACTGCAAAGGATACAAACAAGGCGGAATTGTTCCATGCCCACAGATCCCTGGCTCTACCTGCGTTTGGTACAATTGCTCGAGACGCGGTCATTCTAGAAACAATAAAACATAAAGGATGCCTCATAAATGGAGAGACGCTCAGCTCATTCGGTAGGGCCAAGCATGTCAGCGACAATTTCGATACCAATCAGTGCCGACCAATGAATGTCCTCACTCAACTGCTACAAACAAGACAGATGTAGTACAGCACGCCTATGTAGTATGGCATAGCCTAATTTAATAGACTTTTATAGAGATAACCTGAAGCTTGAATGAAGAAACGGAGGAGGAGTTGTTTAAAGCGAACTGAGGTAAGATACATCTTTTGGACTTATTCTTCTTTATTGGCGCTATAACCGCCTAAGCGATTTTGGCTGAGACCGAAACAGCCATTTATTTTCTGTGGCACCTGACTCCAAATGAACTCAAGTCCTTCTCCACCTGGTCTTTCCAGCGCAGAGGAGGCCTCCTCTCCCTCTATTACCAGCATCGCGATCCGCGTTGAACACTTCCAGAGCAGGAGCGTATAATATACATATTATGTCCATTCGAACGACATGACCTAGCCAGTGTAGCTGGATTTTAACACCTTTTCCACTACTGCAGAACATATCAAGTGGAAGTTTTGGCCATGCGGAAAACTTTAGACTCACTCATAGACAATGCCAAGTAACTTACTGAATGCCGCCGACTTTCAACTGACGAATTGGCAAGAGACGGTAGGTCCGCCCACATATTTCGTGGGAAGAACAAGGATGGTATACCAATGGCCACCTTCAAATATTTTGTTAGGACAACACAACCCTAGTAGCCAATGAACGCTGTTGAAACATTCATACATAAAGAGTAAATATATGTGTTTATGTAGTATATATATCAGTCTTACGTTGAACCAGTGACTATCAAAGCCTTGAGAGCATTATGAGAATGTTAACAGGCCGTTGGTCTATCCTTTGGAGTAACCCCTCAATAATAAGAGCTGTTATTATTTTAATCAATAACGTAGAAAATCGGCTTACCAAACTTTAACGAACGATGTCTTCATTCAAGGGGAGGCTCCTATGAGGCGCCTTATAAGCTTAAAATAAATGGGGAAGAGCTCTAGACGTTAGTTGATAATGCGCCACCGTTACCTTTGCGGCATAGATACGAAAATGTTGAGTTCCATGGGGCTGAGTGCTTGTTTAACTCTAATTCATAGCCCTGAATTATATATTTTAGAATCTTTACTGATAGCTCCAAAACTAATACCGGATCAGGAACATAGATAATGGAACCTAAGCTAACGGTATAAACAAGTATGTATATATATCGAAGAAAGCATAAACAGGAAATCTGTGAAATGGATGCCCCCACGAACACAAAAAAAAGCCACGAGCGTAACGTTGATGCCGTTGACAACGATAGCAATAACCGTAACTACATCAATAATGGTAATGCCTATATCGACGATGATGGCGATTCCGAAAAGAATATACAGTAACTCAAACAAGTCTTCACACTTTGATTTTTTTTTTTTTTAATATTAAAATGCAAAAATAGTAAACAAAAAAATTTCAAAAATTAGCGCGCGTTTTAGTCGCTTGAAACAAAACTGCATACCAAAAACATTCTGGAAATTACTATTAAAAAGTGTAATATTTTGATGAAAATTCCTTGAATTTTTCTAAATTTTACATATAGTTTTAAACTTTGATTTTTAAACAAATAACATTTACCTCGGAAACGTTGTGAATATTTAAAGAAATCATGATGTGAACACTTGTGTGAATCACAGTGCATACAAACGTATGATGAAAATGTAAACGGAGTAACAAGTTGAATTCAAGTTTATAAAACTGTAAACATTAAAATCTCGGTCCACTGGGCTGAGGATATTTATTTACTTTTATAATTATTATCTTAAGCTAACCACACTTTTCCACTAAAAATTAATTTGCCATCCGAAGGCTCTTAAATTTAAACACAGTCAGTAGGCTTTGCAGCTTGACAGTTTCTTATAGCCGAGTTGAAGTATTTGCCAGTGGGACAAGTCATTGCTTGACCGAGTAAACTTCCCGCTGCGGCACTGTAGTAGCAGTAAATGTAACTGTAATCACAAAAAATACATTAATTGAATGGATTTACGTTATTACGTTACAGTGGCTGATTGATGCGCATACACTTACCTAGTACACACTGTATCATTTGGATAAGGGTAACGCCCTACCAAGCTCTTAGTCGCGCACTCTGTATTCTCGACGGTGGAAGACGTCGCAGTGCTGGCAGTTGATGACGACGTCTCTGTAACAGAGCTCGTTGTTGTTGTGGAATCAGTGCTGGCCGTTGACGACGACGTCTCTGTAACAGAGCTCGTTGTCGTTGTGGAATC